CCAGCATTCTGCTAGCTCAGGCAGATGGATGGCCATGAGGCATAGGCTACATAGCAAGATCCAAGTCAACCAATTCCTATTCTCAAAAAGGGATAATAACAGTAATAGTGGTAACAATAGCAAACACACACACACAAATGTAGAAGAATGATGGCTAGTGAGGTTCAGTGGTACAGTGCTTGTGTAGCCTATGCAGTGCCATGGGTTTAATCCATAGCACTGCAAGAAAACAAAAAGGAATAAAAAAAGAAAGAAAATGTTGTCATTTGCTCAATGTCACATGAGTTGATGTTCATCAGGTTAACAGATTCATTTGTAAATCACAGTCAGATTTTTGAAGAAGGAAAATGATATGATAGCACTAGCTATGAAAAATGTATGAACATCACCCACTAATAAAGGAGGAGAGGATAGCAGCGTGTATTTTGAGGAAGAATTTCACACTAGCAGTTCAAGATGATTCTGGTTAGGAAGGAATGTCAGGAATCTGCAGGGCACAGCTTTCTGAACTCCTTTCAGTTGAGAACAAATCCTAGAACAGGGTGGGGAGAGAATGAGAGAAAGAACGTTGCCTATATATCCTTGAAAAGTTTCTGGTTTTGAAAATGCAAATTACTTAATATCATTGATTTGATTCAGGATTTTAAAAAGTCTCTTAAAGGTACTGATACACACACACCAGAAATGCCCAGAATGTGGGAAATTCAATTTGAATTCCAGAGTCTCTCATCTGCTCAATCTCTCTCCATTTGGTTAGTGATAACACACTAATGCCATTGCACATCATTTAAAATATAGGGAAACACGTATAAAGAGAAAAGGAGATGTGAGATGCCTATGGCTGACATTTTAATGTTTCACCTTAATCTGCACTAATTATCTTTTACCCAAATCAAAATCTTGTACCTAACACACACACACACACACACACACACACACACACACACACACACACTCACACTCACACACACAATCTCAGCCTCTTCATATTGTATCATTATTGGCTCTGCACTTCATTAGACACACCAACTTTTACATATTATCTTTACTGCCTATTGTGAAGGATAAAACAAATAATGCAAGTGTATAAATAAAAGGACATCTTTTGTAAATCTCGAATGTCTCTTGTTTTCTCACAGCTGTTAATTTCACATATTCTGAGTGTGTTTTTCACCTTGTTTTGATGGCTCATAAAAATAAAAAATACATTTTCCTATTTTCTTAGTATTCAATATCTAGGAAATTCCTTCTGAACAAAAATTAGTATGAAGGAACATTCCTGACTTTAACATTCAATGATTTCTGATATTTTCATCAGGTACTCTAAAATTGGGGTGACTTTGTTAAAAAATATATAATTATTTCCTAAACTCGTGAACAGACTGATTTTCAGAAAGGGAAGAACCCTGAATCCTACCAGCAATGACAGGGACCTGTTGTCTTCTACATCCATTTAAACAAATGTTTTCTTTTACAAGCTAAAAGATGAAAAGCCATGTTTGTTCAACTTGTTTTGCATTGATATCAGGATGCTTATTCATTTATCAGCCATATGAAATTCTTTTATTTTGTCAATTATGATATTTGTCCTTTCCCTACTGGAATAATATGTATTTCTTACTCAATTATCACATTTTATTTTCATTTTTCACATGGCTGTTCACATATTAAAAACAATACCCACCCCATCATATTTCCATTTAGGTTTATTATGTTTTATGATCCACAAAATATTTCATTTTCTGAGTCAAATAAATGTACTCTTCCTCTGCCATCTACTCTGCTGTTTCAGCGTAGGAGGTCCTTCGGGAAAATGAGCAAAGTTCATGTCTACGGTTCTTCTCCATGCTTAATAAAGTGATTTTCATGCATAATTAATGTGATAAAATGAACTTTTCTATAAATATCTGGTTTTCTCTTCCATATTGGTTTATGATACTTTTTTTGAGAACCTATAACCTGAACCACATACTTGCACGAGACTTCTTCTTTCCTCCTGGTATGTCAGGATGTGTGTGTGTGTGTGTGTGTGTGTGTGTGTGTGTGTGTATTTCCCTTTGAGAATTATCCCTATGTCTGCTGTTTTTCTTTTAAATTCATCTAAGTCTCCGTCTCTCCTTGAAAGGACAGATGACTTATTTACTAGTTGAAATAATACCAAGTTTAGACTCACTTTCACTAATGAAATGATTGTGAATCTCCCCCATTTCGTAAGAAATTGAAACATTCCACTGAAGCCAAATTAGTACACAAATAAACACAGATAACCTTTGTAATCATAAAATCTGCTGATGCACATAATTAGTCCCAACTCCTGGATGATGTCCGTATGTCAACATTCATGAAACTTCTTCAACCCACATCAAATAACAGATCCCAAGGACAAGATCTATAAATGGTAATGTCTGCGTTTTCAAAACTGCCTTCTCATATTTATTTGACTTTGTTTTCACAATGATTCTGTGAGTAGTTTTCATAATGTAATTTTTATAGAGAAGTGAAAATTGGAAGTTCATAAAATTACAGTTAAAAATAAGTAATGCATGACCAAATAAAACCTTAACATCATATAGATCACAGGGAAATTCAAATAAGCAGGTAATTTTTGTGTCAATTTCTAATCACTCCCTAGATGTCAGAAACTTTCTCAATCTTCATGGTTTTTATTTCTTGATACTCACAATACTTCACAGTGTCTCTCTTACATACACTGATTCCCTTGTCCCATTCCAATGATATAAGTCATGGAGAATGGTAATGCATATGGTCTTCAGCTGTAGAAACTGCAGTCTCAAGAGACAGATGCAGCTGGCTAAGTCAGTGGAATATAAGACTAGTATAGGATTTTATGAAGCTGTATTAAATTTCTGCCCTAGTATGGAAAGGAATGCATTTCTCAGGTAGTTCTTTCTTTCTTTCTTCCTTTCTTTCTTTTCTTTTCTTTCTTTCTTTCTTTCTTTCTTTCTTTCTTTCTTTCTTTTTTTTTTTGAGACAGCGTTTCTCTGTGTAGTTCTGGCTGTGTTAAAACTTGCTCTGTAGACCAGGCTGACCTTAAAGTCACAGAGATCCACCTACCTCTGCCCCTCAAGTGCTGGGGTTAAAGGTGTGCACCACCAATACCACCTGGCAGAATGCCGTTTTGTAAATAAAGCAATTATTCTAGAACTTCAGAACCATGTCATAGTATATATTATAATTATCTATTCATCTTGATTGCCACCTCTGAGATTCATGCAAGCAACTAGTCAACAAATTAAGGGCCAGACTTTTATTATTTATTTTCTATTTTGAATTCAATTAATGCCTTTTAAAAATACATTTTATGTTTTTGAGATAGGGCTTTGGGACGGTGGAAATGGCACTGTCAGTTAACTGCTTGCCTGGCAAGCCTGATGACCTGAGTTCAGATACCTAGAATCAGCATAAAATGTCAGGTATAGCTGGGTTTTCCTGTGGTCCCAATGCAGGAAGAGGGAGGCCTAAGACAGGAAGATTGTTAGCACTTAGTGGCTAACCTGTCAGTTGCCATCAATGAATTCCAGGTTCAGTGAAAGAATCTGTCCCAAAAGACATAAGTTTGAGTGAATAGGAACACACCTAATGGCAAACTTTCTCTTCCACACGTATGAGCACACGTGAATGCATACCCTCAACACTAACAAGTGATCCATGAAACACACACACACACACACACACACACACACACACACACACACACACACAGGGCTATCTAATATAGCCCAAGCTGACCTGCAATTCACTGTGTAGTGGAGGCTGGCTTTGAACTTTTGGTTCCCCTGCTTTTATTTCCCAAGTGCTTGGACTACAGACTACTGCTACGCCCACCCAAAGCCTGCTTTTTTTTTTTTTAATCGTTTTCTCCTTCCTTCATAAGCAAAGACTGGCCAGTTTCCCTCAATCTCCAACCACAACATGATTCATACTTAATATGCCCACGAACACCAATGATTCACTATGATCAAGATTCTCAGAATCACACTGATTCTTCTTAAAACACTGAGTACTGTCCCACCCAGGTTTGTCTGAGATGGGGACTGTTTCTAACAAATCCCCAGGTGGTATTTGCTGATGTTCATCATTAGGGTACCATTCTTGGAGAACTACTGCACTAGCACTTCCCCACAAGGGTTCTTTCCATAGCTTCCCTCCAGAAAAGGGTTCAGATGGCAAGACTCAGACACGTATCAACCACATGACTTGGCCTTACACTGGAAGCTTGTAACTGGAAGAAAAAGAGAAATGTTTGTCATGACACATTGCCTCTTTCAAGCTTTTCCAGCCACCAAATTAGAAACAGAAGAGTTCCAGGGAAAGCACCATGGTATGTGCTAAAGTAACACTGTCAAGATTTCAGGATCTTTGCGCATGGTTCTTGAAATCAGTTCTAATAGGGAGTCACCTCCACCATACTGGAGAGTGGTACCACAATGCTCCCAGCAAAGCCAAAGCCCAAGCCCAAGTCAGAGGATTCTTTAAGGGAGCTCAAAAGCCAGCTCACATTCTTGGCTTTTGGTTTGTTGTAACTGTCAATGGTAAGATTTTTTCCCTTGTAGCTATCCAGATATATTATTGAAGATCCATTCTTTAAAATAATATTTTTCTACAACTTCTCTAGTGTTTTTCACAGAAAAAAGTCAATTGTCAATAAGCAACATCTATGAAATCAAGTAGTTAGATTAAATTCTGGAGAGTCTGGCAAAGTAATATCCTTAGCATTTCTTTGTATAATTATCACCTCTACACACCACCCAGGGGAGATTTTTAATTCCATTTTTTATCTCTGTGGAGGAAAATAAGGTCTTTTATGCTATGTTATAAAACAACTCTGCATTCTAGTTATCATAAGTATGACTACAATTTCAAATAGCATATTACATTCAGCACAAAATGACTGATGGGAAATGTTATCTTATCTCTTGTTAGGAAATAAGTTTCTAGCAACCACATTAACACATTCACATATTGCAAGAACCACTGACCTTTTTATTCTGATCACCATGAGCCCATTGCATTATGACATATAGGTGAGCCAATGAATAATATGCCATCCAAATGTAGGTTGGTTTTTTTTTTTCTGCCTTAGTCCAAAGAAAGGAAAGGATCATAATGGTAAAGTTAGTGAACACTCAGATTTTTTAAATAAGTCACTCTGTATGAGGATGAGTCACAAGTACTTCCTTAGCAATAAAAGTTGTCTAGGTAACAGAGATACTTCACTATGTGAAGAATAGGACAGTATGTTGGGTTTCAAACCCACTAGTCATTTCCTTTACTTAATTGCTAACTGCACTTCCCTGGCTGCAGTTTGGAGCCTGTGTTTGAGCTAGTAACCCAGCAACCAAGACTTACACTGTAGTTTGCAAAAGAGAACAAAACAGTAAAGTTTACATTTCCATGGATTTGGGGAGTAAAAGTCAATGTTATTTCCCCAGGGCCTTATGACTTTATGAGGAAATCCACTTGGATCTCAATATGGACACATCATTATGTAAGCCTTAGAGACAAATTATTTTATAGAAAGTAGAAGACACAGTATCTAAGAACATTTTTGTGTCCTCAACAGCCAGCAGGGAGTATGGAACATGTAAGCACTCAAAAAATATCAGCAGGCGAGAGTTTCAGGTTCTCTCATAACAATCCAGTCTGTTAGTAATGATGCCGTTATTGCTTTGGGATTTCATGGGTGTTTGTTTTAATAGACGCACTTGCTATTTTTCCCTTTATTTATTGCTTACACTGCTATAGGTGATGGTTGTGTCCCTCTTACATACCCAATACTTTAAGCATGCTCTATTTTTCTTAAATGAAGCAAATGTTGATAAGCATTCTTTAGGAAAAAATTCTGATATGTAAAAGCAACAAAATGAATGAGAAAAAATTAAAACTAGATAGCAAGCCTACATGTTCTATCAGCAATGCTTTGGCTTGGCCTTGAACACTCCCGATTTCCCTTGGACTTCTTGAGCCTCGTCTCATTTCATGCAACTCTTGTGTTATTCTTAGCTTGTGCAATATTAGTATCCTGAAGGACTAAATTGTTAAAAAAAAATTTCCCCTGCACTCAAACTAATAGAGATTGGGTAAACAGCAGGAGGGCTCTTGCTTGTAGAAGCAATAAACTCTCAAACTCTGCCCCATTTATTTCATTCCCATTAACAAACATGAACCAACATTTTTATTCATTTAATTGCAGGAACCAAGTGACATCACCATCAACTCATTCTGACATGTTGAGTCAAAAATAGAAAATGAGATTTATACAGAAAACCCCTAAAATTGTCCATAATTCTGTGATGATTCTGTAAAGGCACAGCATTCTCTGAATTAAAATGAGTCTTGTTGCTTCATTAGAGCAGGGGGAAAACTTCAAAGAGATAGACACTATGCTAGGAACACCAAAAATACCCCAGCACCCCCCCTCCCCCGCCTGTTGATGAGCATTCATCCTGCCACAAAGGTGACATGAAGGGTGCTGGGGGAGGAAACTCATCAACAGTATCACCAAGCTATAGGACATGCATACTACAATACTGACACACCAAGCAAGATGTGAGTACTTCTGTGATAGCGGCACTACTGTTTCATAGATAACTAACAGTTTTGTGAGTGAATTGGATACCTACCCCATAGGAAGGAGTACACATGTGGTATTATAAACCTGGCCAAAAGGCTGCATCTGAAGATCTCATAAGCTGAACAAGGAAGGGGTACTAATGTTGTATCCATGAAAGGATATATTGTCACATTGTCTTCTAAACATTCATGGCCATAGACTAGTATCGCTCTGAATCTGGAGCAGAAAAGTTCCCTTTTGCAAAGAATGACAGTTGATGCAGAAAGTCATATATAGACAAAGTGCTGAAATTAAGCAACTGTTGAGGTACAGTCCTAAATGGAACATTTATATCATCTGTGTCCCCTAAAGCATGGAGTACAACACAGAACAGGAAGTAGAATTAACAGCTGGGAGATGGAGCAGAATGCCATGAAATGCTAAGGCTCAAATATGACATGAATATTGCAATCATGAACACTAGGCAGCTATGGTTACCTGAATAAGATTAGTCCATTCAACATTTCATAATGGCTAGAGGAGGTGTCCATGAAGGCCCATCCCTTTCTAAGGAATAATTGACTGTTAGCTGTCACTGGGGAAGGGGGTATGATTTTCTTTCATATTGTAGCTACTGGGGAATTAAACGATGTCCAGAGGGAAAAGAAGAGGTTATAGTAGAGGGCAATGGGGGTGTTAATATAACCATAATACAGTACATATGTGTATGAAACTTTCAAAAATAAAGAAAAGTAACAACAATGTTTTCAGCTCTATAAAAGAAAACTGTGCTACAGAACAAGTCCATTTTATTATTACCTGCTTTCTATTACGTGATCCAGGAGACAATCTGTAATCCGTAAGGTCAAGATATCTTTATTGAGATAAATACCAGCCAAACGCAAGCCAGAGCATACCAGGGGCAGGCAAGCAGCCAGGACAGAGAGCAGGGGCAGGATAAGAGGCTACCATGCACTCTGCGGTCCCTTCAGAGCCCATGCCGAGTCATCCTGACCTCACCTTGACCACACCTTGACAGGTGTGGACAGGCACACCTGTAGCCATCCCTTAGGAGGTGTGGTTACGGTGTCTCCCTACAGATCTCTTACATAAATACTTCCCAGACCCCCCCCCAAAAAATAGTAACTTCCCACCACTTGGGAACTATATGACTTCCACAAATTAGCAATTTGCCAGGATGCCAATGTAACTGGCAAATTTTCTAACATTAAGATGACATTATCCCAGCCGGGCATTGGTGGGCACACCTTTAATCCCAGCACTCCGGAGGCAGAAGCAGGAGGATCTCTGTGAGTTCAAGGCCAGCCTGGTCTCCAGAGCGAGTGCCAGGATAGGCTTCAAAGCTACACAGAGAAACCCTGTCTCGAAAAACCAACCCCACCCCCCAAAAGATGACATTATCCCATAATATATTTTTTCTTCCATACTGGCTGCTTTATTTACAGGCTTGTGAGTGACAGCTGTCCCAAGTCCAGCCCCTACCTTTTATACAAAAGCAAAAGATGATGAAAACGGGCTCCCTGGCAAAGTCCAACCAAGGGACCAGGGTAGTCAGCAGCCTTGACTCCAAGACCACAAGCACAAGGAGGTGGGAAGGACAGGAAATCCAGTTCCCCCAAAGCAAGGTGCTGGTGATGAAGCTGGCCACCCTGGGCAGCGTGGTGAGACCCAGAAACCCTTCACCTACATCCCATTTACAAACAGCCAGGGCTGCCATTACAGCCATATCAACAGCCACACACACATCTACTCATTCACATCCACTGCATGCACACAGAAGGAGGGCTGTCAAAGCCCTGTACCTACAACCATGTATGGGACTAATGAGGGAAAGATCCTTGATATTGCTACTGATTGTCTGTCTTGAAGGTGTCTTTCCCATCGCTGTATTCATGGCACTGGTTCTGACAGGTATGTATGTGATGGGTGTCTGGAATTCCTCTAGGATTTCAGTACAGATGATTCCAGTGTTGCAAACATAGTTCATTTTCACGTCATAAGACTTCTTGTGGTTGCAGAAGGGGCAAGTGAACTGGGTCTCTAGGGTTCATCTTCTTCTTGGGGGTCGGCTTCCTCCTGGATTTCCTTCATTCCATGGCTGCAGGAATGAAGTCATGGTATGAGATGAAGCCTGTACCATCCCTGCCTCTCAGCCAAGGCTGCTTTACCTGAGAGATGCTAACTTCTGGCCCTTCCCTAATCTTTAAACAGTGATGGAAATAACATTATAAGCCACTGTACAAATACGTATGAGTTTTGCTACAGTAGTCTTGATAAGTAACTATACTACAACAATTTCATTTAGGGATGTGGCATCTAAATTATGTAACTGGGCTGGTGGAGACTTTTGCTCCCCAATCTTCTTTCTCTTCTCATTCTTCCTCTCTCCTCCCTCAATAAGTGAACAAATTCAGAGAATCCAGCTGTACTTCTCCCTATAGCATTTTCTGGGACTGTTTTGGTATCTACACTAGATTTCCTTTCTGCAGGGCAGCTAAATGTTTCCTTCCGTCTACCCATTTTCCACCTTTTTTCCTCTACTGCAGATTGTAACAAGGCAATTAAGAAGTTAGACTTTATGTTTAAGTTTATGGAAAACTATCTGCTTTTCCTTTCCAAAGTTGAAAGACATCTCTAGAGAAGTTTCTTTGTCCTCTATTCTTCTAAGAATAGTGTTGAGATACCAAAGACATCATCATTGTAGCTATGGAAACCAAACACACTAAAAGGAGATAATGGGAAGTCAAAGGCAACTAGCATAAACTATTCCTGTGAGGGGGTAAGAAATGATGTAGAGTGAAAACAATTCTACCTCACCTTTACGAGATTTTAATCTACATTGATTAGAATAGTAAATAGCCTGCTTGGTGAGAGACATTAATGAATAATCATTTTCCTCAAATTAATTTCCCACCTAAATTGTTCTGCCTAGAATATACTCATTCTCTTAATTGCCTTGTCCAGAGAGCCCAGAGGTGTGTTTGCTTTTGTGTTTCCTCTAACTCCAGCCTCTAAGAATCACCTTCGCTTCAGTTTCCTTTGATCCACTACAAACAGCTCTCCAGTCAGTCTACCCAATTCATCAACAACATGCCACAGCAAACCCCTAAAGTGCAGCAACAAGGATGCCTTTCTCCTCAGAAACCACAGTGAATTCACACTGCCCACTGCATCAGTTACCAACTCCTCTCCCTGGCATTTGGTCTTCCAACGCATGGTCCCATGTTAGCTTCCAGTTCCCTTCCCCCTACCTCTGTCATAACGCAGCAACTCTGAGCTTCTTGGTATTCCTTAGAAGCCCCTATTTTTGCCCATGCTGATTGGACAGCTTAGGAGATACTTTCTCCACCATGACCTATTGTAGAAACCATATCATTCTTCAAAAATGTCTTATTACATACATTTTCTGGTCTCCCTCAAATTGATATTATTTCATCATCTAAACCCTCCAGCATTCCATTTGTATCTCCACCATGGTTCTCACTTACTACTCATCACACTCTACAAAGTTTTTTTGTTGTTCTTGTTATTTTGTTTTGTTTTGTTT